CTGCGCAGGTAGGCGGAGATTTGCGCGGTACCCCACTGCGCAGGTAGGCGGGGATCTGCGCAGAGCCCCTCTGCGCAGGTAGGCGGGGAATCTGCGCAGTGTTGTCTGCGCAGGTAGGCGGGGATCTGCGCAGTACCCCACTGCGCAGGTAGGCGGAGAATCTGCGCAGTGGTGTCTGCGCAGGTAGGCGGGGATCAGCGCAGTCCCCCACTGCGCAGGTAGGCGGAGAATCTGCGCAGTGTTGTCTGCGCAGGTAGGCGGGGATCTGCGCAGTACCCCACTGCGCAGGTAGGCGGAGTATCTGCGCAGTGGAGTCTGCGCAGGTAGGCGGGGATCAGCGCAGTCCCCCACTGCGCAGGTAGGCGGGGATCTGCGCAGAGCCCCACTGCGCAGGTAGGCGGGGCTAACGACCCAGGAGGCGGGGCTATTCCTGATGGGGGCGGGGCTAATTACCCAGGAGGCGGGGCTAAACCTGCTGGGGGCGGGGCTAACTACCCAGGAGGCGGGGCTAACTACCCAGGAGGCGGGGCTAAACCCGCAGGGGGCGGGGCTAACTACCCAGGAGGCGGGGCTAAACCTGCTGGGGGCGGGGCTAACTACCCAGGAGGCGGGGCTAAACCTGCTGGGGGCGGGGCTAACTTCCCAGGAGGCGGGGCTAACCCTGCGGGGGGCGGGTCTAACCTCCCAGGAGGCGGGGCTAAACCTGCTGGGGGCGGGGCTAACCATGCAGGGGCTGGGGCTAAAGCCGTTTCCCGTTCCCCCATTTCTAATATAGTCATATAGGCAGTAGTCAGTATAGTCATTTATAGTCATTTATAGTCATTATAGTCAGTATAGTCATTTATAGTCATTATAGTCAGTATAGTCATTTATAGTCAGTATAGTCATTTATAGTCCTTATAGTCATTATAGTCATTATAGTCATTTATAGTCAGTATAGTCAGTATAGTCATTTATAGTCATTTATAGTCAGTATAGTCAGTATAGTCATTTATAGTCCTTATAGTCATTTATAGTCCTTATAGTCATTATAGTCATTATAGTCATTTATAGTCAGTATAGTCAGTATAGTCATTTATAGTCAGTATAGTCAGTATAGTCATTTATAGTCAGTATAGTCCTTTTAGTCATTTATAGTCAGTATATTCAGTATCGTCAGTATAGTCATTTATAGTCGGTATAATCATTTATAGTTTGTAGTCATATACTCAATAGGCACATACTCAACAACTTTCACTATATATACATTTTCTACTATCATGGGAATCACCGCGATTAGGCAAACCGTGTTGTGGTGGTACCATTATCACTGTGAATACTATGGACATACATATGCATCCAGCGAAAGCTATCGATATAGACTATGGAAGCAAATACGCGCCTGGCAAAAATGTGCCCATAATTATAAAAGTGTTCTAAGTAAAAATTTCAAAATAATGAGTTTGTCATTTATTTTACATCCACATTATCTTAAACTATATCTATTTAATGTAACTTTTACGATATCTTCAAAAATGAACCTTTAGGTAGTGGATGTAATTTCAACGTTATACGGAATTTATTTAGTGTTAATTATGAGAGTGGTCTAAGTCCCAAATTTGAAGAAATTACATATAAACATAACTTGAAAATGGCGCGTGGCCCTCTTCGACGCTTTTCTGAACTACATAGTAAGCTGGTAAAATAAATGATAATGGAAGCGCCATTTCATTCCGGTTTAAGATGCCTGGAATTTCACGAAAAACAGATAAAATTAAGATAAAAGCTGTACGAGAACATATTTTAAGTTTCCCTGCATATGAGAGCCATTACACCAGAGCTCGTCACACTCCTGGTCGAAAATATTTGAGTCCTGACCTAGATATTCGTAAAATGTATAGCCCATATGTAGAGAAATGTGAGGAAAACAACCAATCCTTTGTTAAGGAATGGATTTACAGGAAAATATTTAATACTGAATTTAACTTAAATTTCCATGCTCCTCGAAAAGACACATGCCAACAATGCGATTTATTGAATGGAAAAATCGAAGCATGCAATAATGAGGAAGAGAAATTACATCTTAGAGAAAGTCATGATGTACATTTACAAATTGCCGAACGAGCTAGGAACTGTCTTGCAGAGGACCAGAAAAAAGCAAAATAGAATTCCAGCGAATACTATGGAAAATTCAATGGATGAGATTCTTGAAAAATGAACCTTATAAAATGTTCTATAAAACTTCTTTAGATGATTCTAAATTCCACGTTTTGGATCTTTCACCTAAAAGAGGAAGACCAAAAATATACGAAAATATTAAATTACTTCCATTATACACCACCCCTAAACCAGTAACGGAAGAAAAACATAAAGATATCATGTGTTTACTACCATACATTCCTCCAATTTATCAGGAACATTTTAAGAATCATAAAAACTAGAAAAAATGAAAAAAATGGATAACTTTTTAAAAATAATTAATAAATGTTCATGAATTATTTCATTAATGTTATTGTTTCACATAAAACTCATAGTTCTTTATTGCTTTAAGTCATTTATAGAACATTCAATTAATTTTGAAAATGGTCTAAGTCAATTAGAGCATTAAAAACAACATTTTCGTACGAAATTCATACAAAATTTCATATTTATAATAAATTTCCATTAATCAAGACTAAGGAAATTATAAATTAAAATGTCGCATAATATAAAAATATTTTTTAAGTCGTTCAAACGCAATTCTATAAATATCTCGAAACAAGAAATATATGACTTAGACTACTTTCATAATTATAAGTACATATGTCTCTGTGTAATCATTAAGTGCAAATTGCGATAATGATGTTTTCAATAAGAATTCATTGTTAACGATAATGGCAATTCGTTCTCGTCGACGTTATTGTTATTATAAAAAAAAAAAAAGGAAAAATGAAGAATAATTTTGCTGTTGTAATTTGTCTGATATTTTTATACAGTGGTGTCAATACAATATTTTCGAACTTTCTTGATTTACCCCGACGTGGTAATAAATTCAGGACTTTAAAATTTTCATTTTCATTCATTGATTTAAGTATAAATGGAGTTAGGCCACTTTCAAAATAAACGGTTAAATTATTGAACTAACTCTGAAAACTTATGTGTCAAGAATTATCGTATTTGGTCGGAATATAAGCAACCTGAAATGCTTTACTGATAAATAAGATAAAGTTGTACATGTAATTATAGCAATCGGAAAAAATTGACAAATGGAGTTAGGCCACTTTCAAAATAAACGGCTCATATATATGTATATACCATCAACAGGTATTATTAATCAGAGCAATCGAGAATCATATGACGCTATATGATCGAATTTAATCCTGAACTGGTTCGAAGTACTTACGCTGCACTTATCCCCTCCCCTTTTTTGCCTCCACCATTTATCTTGGAGTTCGGTTATCATACCAGACTCCTTCAGCTTCAGTATCGCACCGCTTAGCTGGTTCCGATAATATATATCTGCAAGGACAGCTTATATTTCTTCCACCCTACGTTGTCTTTCTTTCATTCTTTTTTCTTTCTTTTTCACTTTTTTTTCTCTGTGTTTATTTTTTTTTCTTTGTTTGAACTTCAAAAAAAAAATTCCTTGAGAATCGAACATATACCGGGTGTTTCAATTCGAATACAATATTTAAGAACACAAACTATATCCTAATGTAAGAATGAAATTTTTACGACTAAGTATATTATTTTAATACGATCGTGAGCTTAAATTTGATAGATTTTATTTTATTTCTTTTTTTTTTTGCGATCATAAAATATGATCCGTCTATTTTTAAAACATTCAGTATTTATTCGTCATATTGAAGTTTCATGACATTTATACGTATTTATGTTCATTTATGTATTTCATATAAATACCTTTTCTCATGGCTATACCATAACCCTTGGCATCTAAAAGGGCTCCAACTTGTGTGACGTTGCAATTCCTCTGTGTGAAGTATTCTATCGATGAGGATTCCATGAAGAAAGCATAATCCTCTTGTTGCACTTTTTTCAGACCATCTTCGTTGTTATTCGTCAATACTTCGTTCGCATGTTCCATCATGTAATCATACATGAGTTTGTAAGGCTCGTACGTTGCCGTCTTGATACGATGGATTTCAAATTGCAATCAATTTGTTTCGAGATATTAATATCTATTGTAATTGTATTCTACGAAAGCCCGTAAACAATTGCATTTTAAAGATAAATTTATAAACAGATACGAAATATCATTATAAAAATGTAATCCTTATAGTGATAGGGATTAATAAAATTTGTTAAATAAATTAAATATGTATGTTAAAATTAAAGAGAAATTTATAATATTCTCTGCCGAAGGTTCTAAAGGATAAATGAGTATTGCGTACTTTAGTTACGTTTTAACAACTAAAACGTAAAGAAACTTGAGGTATTCTTTTCTCAAAAAAAAAAAAAGAAGAAAGAAAAAAAACGTTCGGACGAAAATCTTGAAGTGACATTTCTAAATAAATTTCACGCTAAAATCCTAACGATAAAATTTTTCTAAACATTAATTAGACACCAAGATAATATCGTCAAGTAATTAACACGAATATTAAAACAATTACATTGTAGTAACTGAAATTCTAAACAAACTCGAGATATCTTTTCAAGAATGTAATATCAACCAATTAAAAAGTCGATATCTTATGTGAAGATCTTCGAACAATTTAACTTAATGAATTTCATTCTAATATAAATTTTTCTTTCTTCTTTTCTTTTTTTCTTTTCATCCTTTTTTTTTTTTTTTTTTTTTTAGTCGAATCGATAAAACTTATAAGACGTATGTACATAAATCAGATATAAAGATAAAGAAATTTGCGTTCTCCGAAGTAGATTATAACGATTAATTCATAATCGTTCGATCGATCTTACCTCTTATTTTCTTTCTTTTAACAGTTAACCTCGAACGGATGTAAGAAAATTTTCTCACCTTGAAAAACGAGATGGTAGAACCGTCCCTCTTCGCCCCGTATTTGATCGTGTTCTGATAGGGCAACTCGTCTGCTTGCTTAAAGGGCCATACCGTAGGCTTGGTGGATAAAGCAGCCGCTAGATTGGCGGTGTAAGTGGAATTCATGATCAGACAAAAGCACCACCATGCTGTACCTAACGTTCTCGTTGAAATACTCCTAAAAAAGAGAGAGAGAAAAAAAGAACTGAAAAAAGGAAAAATAGAAAGAGGAAGAGAAAGAGAGAAAGAGAGAGAGAGAGAGAGAGAGAGAGAATGTTAATCGATCGATTTTACTCGAAGAAGAACTGCTATTTGCTTAAGCAAAAAAAAAAAGAAAGAATGTCATTCGATATCTGTCTAAGTTTTGTATTATTTATTTGTATAAAAAAGAAAAAAAGAAAAAAAGAAAAAAAGAAAAAAAGAAAAAAAAAGAAAACTTTCTCAGCGGATTGTCATAAATAATAAAAAAGAAAAAAAAAATCAAACGATAAATAAGAAAAACGATAAGTCGCAGTTGACACGTCAAATTTATCACATCGATCCGTGACAGAACCAAAAAGAATTATTTTAACTTGGACTTACTTTTAGAATAGCCAAAAATGGGTTAAAGAAGCTCCCGTTCCTTCGCGAGAATGTTCTGTCACGTGCAGGTATCCATTAATCGAAAGTTTTGATGTATAGTTATGTATAACGTGTGTATGTGTGTATATTATAGGAAGAAAAAGCTTTATAGAAAGATATAAGCTCTTTACCTTAGATAAATATATAACAAGAAAAGAAAACTTTTTATTTTTATATAAGAAGTATAGTTTGTTAACTTACCCCGGAGCAAAATCTGATGCACCATTCACCAAACTGGCAATTATGAAAAAAGGAGTGTCTATCATAGTATAAGGAGTTTCTAATTCTTCTGGTTCGGTTATACAGGGATATCGATTAGTCCATTCGACTGCACTTATTCTCCCATTAATAAACAATACCAAACTCACGATTACCCAAGAACCAATAAGATAACCCCAGACTTCATAAGAGAATGGTAAAAGAAATGAACTCCAACTTGGTGGTGCTTGCGTTGGTTCTCTATACAATACACTTATACCTAAGAAATAATAATAATATTTTATTCATTTCAATTCAGTTCAATTTAATATTTCATTAAATCATACGATCTTACCTAAATTCATAAAGGGTGTCGTGAAATCAACTGCACTTTCTCTTTCGGAAGTAATCGTTAAATCGGTAATCGCTAAATCTGCTCTCTAAAAAGAAAATCTATCTTAATTAATTGCATTAATATTTGTATTATAATAATTTTTATAGAAATTATTATAACAATTGATCTCTGTACCGACTAAGATACATAGAAGTACATAGTAAGATTGCTTCCTTACCGATAGCAATTCAGATAGCAGCACTAGCTATACACTATACTGATTTATTCTCTCTCTCTCTCTCTCTCTCTCTCTCTCTCTCTCTCTAAATAATCTATTAGGTGAACCGGAAAGTAATGTCGTTTCTGCGCATGTCGATATTTGATTGTGATTAAAAACAAAAACTTGTTAAAAATTTATTTGTTTGAATTTAATTTTAAAAAGCGACATTACTTTCCGGTCCACCTAATATATATACATATATATGTATGTATGTATATATATATATATATATATATATATATATATATATACATATAAAATAAAGAATAATTTATAAAATCATAAGATTATTAAACTTACACCGTCTCTAATTTTTTTAATCATCCCATTCCATTCTCCTGTTGCTTTTTGCAATGAACCATAAACATTATCCTCTTGTACCTCGAAGGTATAATTAAATCCTAATATTTTGCTCATTTCATCGATTATGTCGATTGCAAAACCTTCATAACGATCGTTACCTGTTCTCAAGTCAGGTGATTCTTTAAACATTCCATATGGATTGGTCTGAAAAAATATTTTTCTTTGGTCAATAGTATTAATATAATCGCTAGAACGTTAATTCATATCTTGTAAAACATTGTAAATAATAATATACCAAAGATATCAATACGATGAAATGTTTATCGTGCAATGATTTTATCTCATTGATTGGAAAACCTGATTTTGTTATCCATGAAATACCATTCGAGCTACGCCAATCGCCAACTTTATTCAATCCTTTTATATTAAGACTGACGATCTCTAATCGAAAATCACTACGATATCCAGCTGTATCGAATCTCACTGGTCCACTTAAACCATGTATACTTTCCTGAATAAATAGAAAACTAATTTTACATTGTTGAAACGTACAATATTCCTTGAAAAAAAAAAAAAGAAAAAAAATGAAAAACAAAGAAAAAAGATAAAAAAAAAAGAAGAAAAAGAAAAAGAGAACAACTTACGGCTCGAATAAAATTGCTCAAACTATTGCCAAACTCCCAGCTATCAGATTCGTTACAAGTCAATTGTTTTAAATGGCCTGTTACGCTATCATCCAAAAGTGCCATGCCTCTTGCAAAAAGTTGCACAGCGTCGAACGTCAATGCAGCTTCAATCGTTAATTTCGAGGGTTCTGTTAAGTTCCAATCGAGATAAAAGGTCTCGAAGATCTCCAAGAGATAAGGATCGTTTGGATTTATCATTCTAACACCCGTCACGTTTACACCGGAATATTTATATGGTTCCAGATCCAACGTTTGAAAGTCCAGATTTGTTACGAGTATGTTATACTTTTGCAACATTAAACCTACTTGTTGTGCGTGTCGAAGAACCGTAGGTAGAATTTCATAAGAACAATCTATCACAATATTGATCACATCGGACATTTTTACTGTTTGTAAGATGTCCCTGTATAATAATCGACGTTGATAAGTATGGTTGAATCATATTTTTTTTCCTTTTTTTTTTTTTTTTTTTTTTCTTTTGAAAATTTCAAACATTTTACCTATAATCTGGACCATGGCCCAAATGATAAATCGTTATCTCGTAACCATTTATCTCTTGAAGCTCCAATACACGTTGAAAACGTAACAAGCTCTCCGTATCGTCATACAAAATTGCATATTCCTTCCATTTGAAATCCTTGATTATATTATAATAAACCTAAACGAGATAATATTGTAATTAAATGTACGAAAAAATTATTATAAACGTGTTAATCGAAGTGATGTAAATATTTTGTCTACCGTCGAGAGTATTTCCGGATGAGGATATAAATTAATTGCATTTCCTCGAATTTGTTCAGGATCCCATCTGGTGGTAATATATGGCAAATCCATAGCATCGCACATACTTTGAACGAAATACGATGCAGATTTGTCTCGCGGCCCGAATAAACCGGCTACACCACTTTCTAAAAGTTCACACGCTGTCGAAATAAAATTTCAATTTGATTGATCGAATTGTAATTTTAGAAAAAAATTTCTCATTTGATAAAAAGCTTTCGATTAAAAAAAAAAAAGAAGTATATATATATATATATAGATATATATTTTAAAAATATTAACGCATTTTTATTTATAGATAATTATGATTTTTATTTGTAGATAATTTTTAATTTGTCAAATAAAAAAGTGATGTTATAAATGTAACGAAAAATGCGTTTGATCCAATTCAAAATTATATTAATAGAAAATTATTTCTATTTCTAGGCTCACTTTTCTGTGCTGCTTCGAATGTATCAACATCGATCCTTTCCAATTTTAATGTTAAGCTTTTAACGTCCCTAGATATTTGAGCATTTGTATTAACATTTTGTATCGAAAATTCAAATGCTTTCTCGATCATTTCATTGCCATCAAGTAGAACCCCTATAGTATTATAATAAATATATCATATTTTTATTTATTTAATTTTTTTTTAATGTTTCGTCATTTTTTCGTTTACTTACCAATTGGGACGTTTCTTGGGAATCCATGAATGGAAGGTAATAAAAACAGGACGACATATGTCAGAAGCATTTTTTTTATCATTCTGTAAACGTAATAAAATCGTTTATTTTTATTTATTTATTATTTATATATATATATATTTTTTCTATTATTACCATTACGACATTGAAATACCAATGAAATTTCATTAGAAAAGACAATTTATTTCATTAATTTTACTTTTCGAACGATTTCTAAATTAAATTAATTAATTAATTAATTAATTAATTAACTTATTTATTTATTCGTTTTCTTTAGGTTAACATTGCACATTTTCACATTATAATGTATTGACACACTTAGGTACATATGATATAATTAGACACCTCGATATTTACTGCGCCAGCGAGGTTTAACTACGAGCACAGCTCGTGACATAGATTCAGCAATTGTTTTTTTTATCTTCATTTTAATAGAATTCAAATTATTTATTATCTGATTTATGATATATTATTTTCAATGAAAAATTTAAATATATTATGTTAATAAAATTAATTAACAATCACTTTAATAAAATATCTTGAAAATTTTAACGATTAAAACTCAATTTATCATTAAATAAAATTTATTATATATTATAATTAATGAGAAATATTTCAACAAACCTCTTTTTAACGATACCACATATAAGAGTCCGATAATTAATCCTCATTAATTTTAAAACATCACAATATTACTTTTAATTAACGATCGAAAGAGAATGAAAATTTGTAAGAGACACTTAAAACGAATTTACTTCGACTAAATAGCATCCGTGCTATCGTATGGCTGCTGCCCAACTGTTTTCTTATAGACTACCTATAGTTAGAGGGAGTTTTATTTAGGTCAGGAAATAGGAAATAAAATAAATGAATATGTTCATGCCAAAGAACATAATTTCGTAGTTATGCAAGTCTCATTATAAAATTCAATATTATTTATACACGTTTGTATATATATATATATGATATATGATATAAATATATATATATATATATATATATATATATATATATATATATATTGCTGACGCATCAACATTAATCAAAAGTAGAGCAGAATCGTGATTTTCATTCTTAATTAAAATTTTATTAGCGATTGCTAATCATTTAAATTTTCGTCGCCATTCTATTATCTCATATATATTTATATTTATATTTATATATATATATATATATATATATATATATATATATCTATTTCTAAGGAGTTTACTAAGAATTCAAATAGATTGAATTGTTTTATTTACTCAATCATTTCATCCAACAAATATTAATTAATTTCGTCGATATTTTTTAAAACGATCGAGGAGCTCGAATTATCGAAAGTTTTCAATTGTCATCGTCGGGTGAGGTTGTAATTACAGTTGGTACAAATCCATAAGGAGGACTGCAATCCTCCGTACTATCTTCTCCGCTTCTGTGCGATGAATTTTTCCTCTCTCTAACTGATTTAGTTTCACTGGTACATTTCACCACGAACTTTATCTCCTCCAGCATTTCTTCCTTGAAAGAAAGCTAAAAAGGGAAAAAAAAGAAAAAAAGAAAAAATAAGAAAAAAAGAAAAAGCAAATACAATTTGTTCGGTTAAACGATAAACGGGATATACAACGTTGATATTTTTATTACTTACATTTTCTTTTATCGATTTAACAGCAACTTCCCAAATGAGCTCGAATAACGTGAAGACAAAAGAAAATCCAATACCAACGAAAAGAACTAAGAATACACCACCCACGTGATTCAAATTTAATTCTTCCGCCGAACTTGGTGGTGCGCCTTCCTATAATATCAATTAACGATAAATAAATCGATTTCCTTTGAAAAATAATCATTTTATTATGATATTTACTTCGCACTTTCCACCGCCACGCTTTTGGGTCCACCATTTCTTTTTTAATTCGGTTATTCTACCACTCTCTTGTAATTTTAATATTGCCGTATTTAATTGATGACGATAAGATGAATCTATAAAAATGAATTATAAATTTCTTAATTTTTAAAAATTATGATCTATAAGTATATGCGTGATTTACCCTTTCTCATGGCAATCCCATAACCCTTTTGATCCAATAAACCACCAACTTTCGTAACGTTACACTCCCTTTGAATGATGTACTCGATCGAACTGGACTCCATTAAAAAGGCATAATTCTCGTGCAGGACCTTTAATAATCCCTCTTCGTTGTCCTTGGTCAATACGTCGTCGTTACTCATCATGTAGTTGTACATATCCTTGTACGTCTGGTAGGAGGCCTCCTTGGAATTGGCATAATTCTTTCAAAGAGCTGAATTAGAATGACCGTTTCTAAGTTTCATTTGCCTGTTACCTAACTCGAATGTAATGGCATCTTGACGAATTAGTAAGCGATGATTGTTTGGGCCAGAGGATTTATAGCATTAACAGGTATGTTTCTCTTTCCTGCGGAGAACTATGAGAAGCGATTGAAAACAAAAAAAAATAATTTATTCTTTTTTTTTTTTTTGGTTTTCTTTTTTCCTTTGTTCTTTTTTTTCCCTTTTTCCCCGACTCCCATCTCCCTACATTCACTCAAAAAAGGGCAAACTAATTGTAAGTTTCGTTCGTTTACGTTGGTATGTACCATTCCAATGTTCATTAGTGTGTTTGCATTTGGAAAAAACAAAAAAATAATATAAAACTAGCGATTATATTAATTATCGGGTTTCAATTATACGTGTAAAATATTGAAAAACAGCTAAAGTAACTAAATCAAAAATTGTTCTTATTGATTTAATTAAGCGGGCAAAAACTAATTCTACAAGCTTTGAAGCTTTTTTTATTTTGTTCTTTTTTTTTTTTTATCAGGATAATTCTAATTAATACTCGTCAAAAGGATTTTAACTAGAATTAAGCAAGGGAAGCAGAAAATCATATCTAGCAAAAGGGATTCTATCTAATTCATTTAACCTTAATCTTACTTTTATACTCGCAACATGGTTTCCTCTATGGATTGCTATAGAATACGTGTAATATCACTTAATCGTAGACGAAATAAATTCTTCTTTTTTTCCTCCCCCTCCCCCACGTTTTTTCCTTATCTCTTAAAATATCGAAAGGATCATCGGATTTGATACTTACTTTGAAAAATTCGAAGGTCGATCCGCCGCTCTTTGCACCATATTTTATCACCTTCTGTTTCGCCAGTTCCTCGACGTTGGTAAATGATGGTATGTTAACAGCTATAGCCAAGCAAGCAGCTAAATTTGCCGTGTAAGAAGAGACTATGATCAAACAAAAAAACCACCAGCATCCTGCCATCATTCTTGTTGAAAATCCTCTAAAAAGATAAAAGAAAAAGATCGAAGATAATGTTAGTGAGAATTTTGTTCCTGTTTTTTCTCTCTCTCTCTCTCTCTCTCTCTCTCTCTTTGATTTCCTCTTATCATTATTATTTTTTTCTTTTATTATTTTTTGAAATTTTATTAAATCTACAGATAGATCGATCGACTCACATAGGTGCTAGATCGGAACCTTGTTGCATTATGCTTCCAATGGTAAACCAAAAGGAATTCTTCAACGTGAACTGGTTCTCCAACTCCTCGGGTTCTTCGATGCAAGGATAAGGATTGTTCCATTCCGCTGGACACAATCTACCGATCACGGAGAATAGCACTGACACGAAGATATACGACGCCAACAAGCATAACCAAACGTCGTTAGAAAATGGCGAGAGAAACGAGAAGAGACTGGGCGTTGCTTTCGTTGGCTTTTTAAATAATATACTTATACCTATGTAATGATGTCATAGTCATGAAGAAAATACAATTTATAATTAATTATTAATTGTTATTTATTTTATTCATCTCTCGTGAAAATAATTTATTATTGTTATATCTTACCTAAGTTCATGAATGGCATTGTAAAATCAACGGCACTTTCACGATCAGAAGTTATCGTTAGATCGGTAATCGCCAAATCCGCACGCTATAAAAAGGATTTAACAATTTAATTGATTAATCTTTACGATCGAATAAATTGTCTTAATAAATAATTTCTATTTATTACACGCGACATGAGAAAAATATATATATATATTCTTTTCTTTTCTTTTTTTTTTCTCTTTCTTTCTTTAACAATACTGTTTAATATTTTTAATTTACGTATTACTTATTTACAACGTTTAATTGTCTAACTTACCCCCGCTATTATTTTCCCTATCATTCCTGACCATTTCCCTGTTTTGTTGATATATGAACCATAAACGCTATCTGTTTGAACTTCAAATGTATAATTAAAGCCTAATGATTTACTAAGTTCTTGAATAATGTCGATTCCAAATCCTTCGTATCGTTCATTGCCAGATAACATTGCAGCAGATTCCTTTACCATTCCATATGGTTTTGTCTGAAATATTAAATGATTCAAGTATATTGTTATCGTGAAAGATTTATTTATAAAAAAAAAAAAAAAAAAAAGAAAAAATTAAATCAAAATATCAAAACGTTTACCATAGATATAAGTACTAAAAATGTTCTATTCTGTAAACTCAATTCAGCTTCAGTTTTCGTTGAACTTATGTCTGGCGTCCATTCAATTCCATTTACACGTGTACTATTCCAAACTCCAATTGTTGTTAATCCTTTTCGTTGCAGTTGTACAATATCCAATTGAAAGTTACTTCGAAATCCGGTAGTATCGAACCATATTAATCCAGTTAATCCTCTCATTTCAGTCTGCAAATTAATCAGTCATTAATATCCAATAAATTTCTGAATCTGATTAACAGAATATATGTATAAAATTTTCTTAAATTACATAAAAAAAAAAAATTATATATATATATATATATATATATATATATATATATGTCGTGTATAATTGACGGAATATATTCAATTTGTATATTTCGATAGGAAATAAAAATCATAAATATATTTTTCTTAAGTTCTTCTGTAAAAAGTTCTTGTAAAAAAAAAAAAAAAAAGAAAGAAAGAAAAAGAAAAAAGTAGAAAGAAAATTGTCTTTATTTTATCAGAGAATATTTCGAGATATTCGAATAGGTCCTACCACACGCATAAAATTCAAAAAAGTGCTTCCATGTTCCCAGCTCATTGAACCATTGCAAGGTAGCTCTTTTACGTTCCAATTTGTAGTACCAATTAATTGCTTCAAAGTTTGTGCAAAAAGTTGAACGGCATCGTACATTAAAGCTGGCTCGAGTCGAAGCTCTTCTGGTCTGGATAAATTCCAATCATCTTTGTGTTTCTCAAATATCTCTGTCATTGTTGGATCTTCTGGATTGATTAAACGAAAACCAGTGAAGTTCACGCCGGAATAACTATAGGGTTCTAAATCGAGCGTTTGTAAATCCTAAAAGTGTTTAATGAATTCTGATTAATTGATTTCTTGTTAAAAAAAAAATAAATAAATAAATAAATAAATAAATAAAAAAACAAAAAAGAATCTCTCACCAATGAAGTAACTATCACTTGATATTGATCCGACATTATACCAACTTGTTGAGCCTGTTTTAAGACCTCCTCTAATATCTGAATTGAACAATCGATCACGATGTTCTCCATTTCGGTTTCCTTGATCTCTTGCATTACATTCCTGTACAGGATTCGACGCCACACTGTAGAATCGTGTTCATGCTAATTGTCTCGAAGGACATAATGTATAATATAATGATAAAAATGATTTACCTATAATTCGGACCACTTCCTAAATGATACAAAAATATATCAATTCCTGTATTACGAAGTTCTAACAATGGTTTTATTCTTAACAAGCTTTCAGTATTTTCGAACAATATTATCATCTCTTGCCAATCTAATTCACGTATCAATGTTTGATATGCCTGGAAATATATTTTCCTTTTTTTCGATTAGTTGGTTAAAAAAAGAAAAAGAAAAAAAAAAAAGAAAAAAGAAAGAAATATAAAACACAAAAGAGAAAATGAATTATAAAGAGAAATGATAGGACGTACCAAGGACAATGTATTTGCGTGTGGATAAAGATTCACAGTTTTCCCACGCATTTCTTGAGGATCCCATCTAACTGCGATATGTGGCATTTCTATCGTATCACATATGCTCTGCACATGTTCAGCTATGAATTTATCTTGTGGACCAAATATCGCAGCCACACCCGTACTAATCATCGTACATACTAAACGTTCAAGGAATTGTTTTGAGCTATTACTAAATTCATCATTCATATCTTTTGTAAATATAGATAATTACCTTTACCATTAACATCGAATGCATCTTGATTTATTTCTTCGATATTTGATATCAAATGAATATCCCAATATTCATGATTGATCGATTTTATCGATGATTCGAAGGCAAGTCTAATCATTTCGTCATCATCGAAAAAGCCTATGCGTATGTGTTTTATTTATTTATTTATTTATTTTTTTTTCTTTTTTTTTTATCTTTTCTTTAAAATTTTACCATAAACAAGGAAATATATTAAAATTAATACAATATACGATATGATGTATGGATGATGATAACAAGAAATAATATTTCTTTTATACGATGATTATATAATTTGATGAAAATCAAAATACAATCTCATATATATCATATCGTATATTATTTTTATTATAATCATAGATTTTTTATTACTTAATTGAGATATATATATATATATAAGTATAAAAAGATAAAAGAAATTTGTCTTACCTACGGCGATTTGTTTTGAAAAACCCAGAACATTGGTAACGAATATCAAAAGAATGTACACCAACTGCATCCTCGAATTTTTCTAAGAGATATAATATCAAGACAAATGAAAATAAAATAAATAATTGGGAAAACGTATCTCATGACATTCCAAATTTCAAGATTTTCTGACTTGTGCAAGAATACGAAGGGAAAGAGCGCACTTAATCGTCTGACGTTAAGTAAACTAACGAAAAGGCATCAAGCAACTGCATCTCGCTCAACATGTAAATATTTATATCCATCGTCCAATATTGAGTCTGCTTATTTATACGAAGTTTACATCCCTAATGAAACTCTGTCTTCAAAATCGATATATCGTTTCTTGACGGTGGCATTTCGTTTTTAACGAGACGACCACGAGACAGATTTGAAACAATAGAAAAAAATTTATATCATCGATTTCGATTATTATTATTATTATCATTATTATTATTATTATCATTATTATTATTATTATTATTAAATGTATATGTATATATATATATTTATTTATTATTATATTTCGATTATTAGTATCATTATTTGAATTCGAATCTGACGTTACCGACGATGTTTTAAACGATCAGCTGATTTTTTGTACACAAAGGAATACGAATAATTTAATTAAGAAAATTTTCCACTAGAGATACAAGACATTAGCTTTCTTCATTATACTTTTTTTAATGGATATAAGTGAAATTGGGAAATTTTTTTTTTTTTTTTTTTGAATAAACTCACGTACAATCGAATAGAAAATACGTTTCAAAATGGATTCTTCTTTGAAATTTTCCATTTAAAAAATCATATAGTTTTCTTAGAAACACGCATTCATAGATACTATGTGCTTACTGTCATCGTGCCAAAAATGTTCATTCTTTCGTCATTCCTTTCACTCCCCCTTCCACTACTTAGTTTCTTTCTACGAATGCCAAAATATCACTATGTTCGAATAGAACGATAAATTCACTCTTCTCAAAGTAACTATCACTCCTCTTAGTTAAACTTTTTCTTCACTGGAGTACTAAAGATTTAACTAGTAAATCGTTGGGACCATTTGCCACGATGGAAAATCTAATGAGAAAATATTTTGAACCCCACGACGCGTTGACGACGATATATTTAGAAACTTAGCCGCCACCAGAAACATGTCGCGTAAGAATCTGTGACATAGATTTCGAACGACACGATCTTAAGATCATTCTTTCTAAATAAAATAAATACAATAAATGAACAAATAAATAAATAAATACAAAGTTTATTCGGAAAATCTCAATCGTTTCTTAAATAAAATTATTCTTTCGAGAATTCGATCTTTGCAAATATTTAATAATGGAATAAAAATAAAAGAAAAAGATATATATATATATATATATATATATATATATATATATATATAAGAATTAAGAGAAAAAAAAAAAGAAAAAGTGAAAGATCTCAATTGAAGTTTCAACACGAAGTATTATTTCAAATCAATATATCTTATTTTTATAAAAGACAAATCGTTATATCGTTCGTGTATCATCAACGAAAGAAAGAGAAAGAAAGAAAAGAATATTATTAAGAAATAAGCGATGTAAAAGATCGAAATACACTTACCTTTGGTTATGAATCAAATGGAAGTTTGTGAAAGACTCTCTTTTGAGAGAAGGTGCTCGCTTAAAGTTACGAACTCTAAATCCGCACCGTATCTTTCTGAGCGTTTTAGTTAGCGCATGCTCAGTTAAGTATTAACCCCTTCCTAAAGATTCTCAATATATCCGTTTGTCTTGTTCAAAATAATGTCTATTTTTCTAACGCTAGATGACGCGATTCAAGTGACGTGAAACATTCGAATTAATCCAAATTATCATTAAATGAATATTAAATGTTTCGTTTAAATAAACACACAATAGACTATTAAATTGGATTATAACGAATAAATAAAAGGAAAACTTTGTTACGGGTTCTGTGAAGTCGCGCCCAAATGTATATTACAAGAATTATAATAAAAATGATCATCTAGGGTGTGGCAGAAAAAAAAAGGAGAAAAAAGAAAAAGAGAAAAAAAAGAAAAAAAGGAAAAGAGAAAAATAACAGGACACGAAGAATGTTGGTGCATTGTGGTACAATAAAGGTGTGGAGAAAATGATTTAATAAATGGATCTCTCTTGTTAATAATTTTCCTTGATCTAATTATAACGATCGAACGAATCGTTAGAAGTAATCAGACAAATTAAAAATTTTAATTGAATGGGTATTAATGCATATGGTATGTATTCGTTTTCCCTTTCGAGAATGTCACGATTGAGAATATACAGACGAATAGTTTTTATTCACGTTTAATACGTTACTTCGTAGTACATATTTGTTGTTGTTGTTGTTGTTGTTGTTGTTATTGTTGTTGTTTGTTATTGTTTTTGTCGATGGTGGTTTCTTATTTCTTTTTTTTTTGTTTTTTTTTATATAAGAAGTATATAATCAATTGCCCCTTGATAAAATTGTACGATGTTACGCGAACGCGATATAACAAGTATGGAATACAGACGATATTTACAGGTGCATATTTAGTGTAAACTTATGAATATATGTATGTAGGTGTTTGTCTGTGTGTGTGTGTGTGTGTATGTGTGTGTATGTGTCTCGTTAGTTTCTTTATTTCCATCTTTCCTTCTCTCTCTCTCTTTCTCTCTCTCTCTCTCTCTCTCTCTCTCTCTCTCTCTCTCTCTCTCTCTTTCTCTCTTTATCTTTCTTTCTCTCTTTCGTGTCTTTGTACATACGTAAAACGATTCGTGTCTTTTGTTTTTTTATTTTTTCTTTTGTTCTTTTTATTTTCTAATGAATGATCTCATAAATCGAATCTGAGAAGTAAAAAGATGAGATTTGCAAGGCTTTTTTAATGTCTCCAAAAGTGTAACGACGAGCATCTATTTTTAAAATTTTCCTCTTGCTTATTTTCAAGACGAACGAACGAAAAGACGTATAGTAATTCTTTTCTTAGGAGCACACGTGGAAGATATAAAAAAGAAAGAAAGAGGCGAGCAACACAAAACAAAAAAAAAGAATGTATTTTCTTATAGGTCGTTCGATTGTTCCATCATTTCAAATTTTAATTATAACTTCTTTTTTTCTTTTTTTTTTGTCTCTGTCTCTCTCTCTCTCTCTCTCTCTCTTTCTTTTATCTCTTCCTTATCCTTTTTTTTGGATACTTTTCTTTCTTTTTCATCGAACAAAAATAATTTTCGATTAAATCACGATGGATTACAAAGCTCGTAACGTGATTATTACATGGATTTTTTAAGATCTATCTATACGTGACGGAAGACGAAAATTAATACTGCTTTGATTTGTAAAAGTTTTGTACAAATTTCTATAACAAACGCAAATAACGAATTTTATCAATTTGACATTTCGTTTTTTCCCCCTCCTTTTTCTCTTTTTTCTTTCCTTTCTCTTTTCTGCCATTCTGCTTTTCTATCTTTCTCTGTTCCTTTTTCGAAGATATCGAAGAGTACGCGAAAAATCTTCCATTCCTTTATATTTTTCCTTTTTTTGTTTTTTTTTCCCCTTTTTATATATTTATTTATGCCTTTTTTTTTGTTCTTTTTTTTTTTTTTCTTTCTTTTCTCTCCACATTTTCTTTTATCTTACAGATACAACCACCTTTCACTCTCATCGACAGATGCAACGAATATAAAATGCTTTTGTTTATAAGGACATTAACGACGGAAGAAAAAGAATATGTAGGAGATATGAAATATAAATATTTGTCTTTAAACGTTCTTAATTAGTTTCTGTTTGCTTTTCTTTTTTCTCTTTTTTTTTTTTTTAAAAATTTTTTTATGATTATTTTTTATAAGAAAAAAAAAAAAAAGAGAAAATAATCATAAAAAAGAAATTTCTTTCCCGCATCCTGCCGTTGAGAGAATCGTTTATTTTTCTTTTTGTCATTTTAATTTAAAAATTTTTTTCTTTCTTTTTTTCTTTTTTTTCTTTTTTTCTTTTTTTTTCTTTTCGTTTCTCTTTATGTTCCTGTAAGAAGTTAACGACATACGAACGTAGATTGGAGACAACTCGCTGATACAATTCGTGCTTAGCTCACATAGATTTAAATTTATACAAATTTGAATTCTTAATGAGGATAAGAGAATATACAAAAGTGTCTTTTTTTTTTTTTCTTTTTTCTTTAACGTTATCTACAGACGATAGAACGTCAATGCACCTCTTGATTCACGTACATCGATTTTTCATTTCTTCACAAATGGTATCTCATAAATATTATCGTATCACTCAATTATCAATTTGATTTCGTACGTAGGATTTCGCAATTATACAAAGTCAAAACGCTTTAAAGACGAAAAACGATTATTCGACATTCGATCTTTTTATTATAATACGTTGCTCCGTTTAGATAAATACTTATCGATATCGTATTTCCTTCGATTATCTTTCAATAAAAATTTTGTACAGAACAATCGATTCTATATTAATCGAATTTAAAAACAACAACATTGATATTCCTAAAATCTCAACGATTATCGTTAACGTTAAAGTTAAAATAAATTATCATGATTTGTTCGATGTATCAACGTATATGATGAATTTTATTTATCATTACAATCTATGATAATTATTTATTATCACAATACATATATGATTATTAAAATTCAATAATTAAAGAATTCATTTTAATTGTCAAATCAAATCCAATAATTATGACAATATAATTATGATACAAATTGTAAATTCTAACGTAACGATCATCGTCGATGATTCAGATCATCGATTTTCAAAATCTTCTTATTCAATGAAACTTATTAAAACAGTCGATTTGATAAAATATCAGTATCGATTACAATATAATCGTTTCTTATAATTTTTATCGAACAATCTCTCTCCCTTTCTCTTTCTCTCTCTCTTTCTCTCTCTTTCTCTTGTTTTCTCTCTCTCTCTCTCTCTCTCTCTATTTTTGGCAATTATTTATAAAAAATCAGACGTATACACAGACGGAGAAAGAGAGACAGAGGAGAGAGAGAGAGAGAGAGAGAGAGAGAGAAAGAGTTTTATTCAATTCGATGATCACAACTCGCTAATATTATATATTTTCGTTCTTGCCTCCATCATCGCACTTCAACCGCACAAATTACGTAGCCACGAATACGCACATATATAACACAAAAACACACACAAAGAGAGATTTCATTGTTGAAATTAGTCGTCTTCGTTCACGTGAGTGGTGCTTTACCAACGAAATGAGTGTATCTGTTACAGGCAATGTAAAATTCTTCCTCCGAGAGGATCGAAAGATTCGATCGTTGTCGTTGATGTTGCAATTTTTTCGAGACCTTCTTATTGCCATTGCCACAGTCCAAAGCAAAACGTAATTCGTTTGCCATTTCGTAGCACATAGATTTCTGAAATATTGATACATAAACGAATTAGAATAAGCTCATGTTTTGAATTGCTTTAAGGAAAAAAAAAGAAGAAGAAGAAGAAGAAGAAGAAGTAGAAGAGAAAAAAATAATATTATTAATTATTTTTCGTGCGAAAGACAGCAACACAATTAAATAATCGTACATGCAATATATATATATATATATATATATATATATATATCATATTTATCAAGAGACAATATATAATCGATTTTCGATGTATTAGGAAAGAAATAAATACACAGGTATACGATTCATGGACGAATAGGAAAAAGACAGCGTATCGTCGTGCAGAACCTTGATTATTTATACTGAAGAAGAAAAGAAGAAAAACACACCAAAAAAAAAAAAAAAAAAAAAGGAAAAAGAAAGAAAAAATAACAGAAAATATTCGATGCAAAATTGATTGTCAATCAAGTGCTAAGAGAAAGTAATGAAAAAGAAATAATGTTAATTGTTCGATCAATCGTACAATATTATATGTTTAAATGCAAACAGGAAGCGAAGCACATCCCTTTTTACATGCATGAATATCTAAATACATTATAAATATAATCAATGTCCTCCTGAAAAGATAGAGAAGAATTATTTTACGTTATTTTCTTTTTCTTTGTAAATTTTTGTTTGTTTGTTTCTTTCTTCCTTTCGTTCTTATTTTTTTTTTCTTTCTTTCTTTCTTTCTCTCTTTCTTTCTTTCTTTCTTTCCAATGACAAAAAGAATAGAAGACGAGTTAATGCGATAGAGAGAAAAGAGATGCAGATAGGCGAGCGACACACAGCCCACAAAAGGATTAATTTATTAATACATTTAAATTGGCTCACCTCCTGCGGATCCATGACGATAAGAGGGAGGCAAGAAACATTGCGACACAACTAACAATGTCATACTAAACTTTAAACACGGGTTCGTATCCGTGTCATTCCAATTACCACCATCATCACCATCATCACCATCACCACCATCATCACTATCGACATCATCATCATCATCATCATCCTCATCATCCTCATCATCATCATTATCATCATCATCAACGTCGTTCGAACGCTTACATCTATTTTTATTATACCGATTTGATTTTAATTACAATATTCGTATAATACAACGTACGAGATTCGAGACATTAATTATACTGTCTATTTTATCGATTAAACGGATTTCCTCGGAATCCGTGAGCTTCTTCTTCATCTTCTTCTTCTTCTTTATTTATTTATTTATTTATTTATTCTCTTCTTTATCAACTCAGACGCAATCCCTACGATAAGCCCTGCAATATCTCAACAGAAAAAAATTTTCGAAAATTTCGACTATACTCTCTTTCATTCTTTAATCTTTTCTCATCGCCCCCCCCCCCTCCTTCACTCACCCACCCCGCTGCCGTCCTAATCCACCCATTCTCACTCACACGAGAAGCGGACGGACTCCCCCACGAATTACAGCAATAGGCCCGTTATAATGTTACAATTTATTTACAATAAAACGCTTCGTAATCTGACGCTATACATTCACTATCTAATTGGTATAAAATCGTGATTGTTCTTAATTACTTATACTCGCGCCCTTTCCGCCCCAATCATCCCTAAACCCTTCCCCCGCTCCCACGGCTCCCATTCTACATCCCGCGAGAAGAAGAAAAAGAAAAAAATAAATAAGAAAAGAAGAATCGAAAAAAAAAAAAGAGAAATCTTTGCGCGACAGATAATGCTCTCTCTCTCTCTCTCTCTCTCTCTCTCTCTCCTTTTCTTTTCTTCCCTATTCTATTCTATTCTTTTCTTTTCTTTTCTTTTCTATTCGTTTCTTTCCTTTCCTTTTTTCTACTTTGCCCTGATATCCTGGATCATCGTGTTCGTTCTTTCTTTTTTCTTTTTTTTTTTTCTTTTTTTCTATTTTCTTTGGACATTTGTGTTGTAATTATTATTATTATTTTCTTTTTTTTCTTTTTTCATTTTTTTTTTCTTTTTTATTCATTTTTACCTTAAGAAGAAAACGTTATTTTTTATCGATCGCAATTGGCAGACTTTTTCTCGACTCGCGAGCACTGCGAGGTTTTCATTCATAGTCTTTTTGGCTCTTTGACTCGTTTATTATATTATGCAATTTCTAAATGTTTCTGTTTCATTTCATTACGTTTGAATTTTTTATTTATTTATTGTTTGCTTGCTTGTTTATTTGCTTGTTTGCTTGTTTGTTTGTTTGTTTGTTTGTTTGTTTGTTTGTTTTTGTGATATGAGCGATGTGTGTATTTACGTATGTATATATGAGTGAGACGCAAACGCGATTGACCTTTCCAATTTTGAGTTCAGTTTCGAAGGACCAACTGAGACTCGACTTCGCCAGCCTGTTTGCCAACGATGCGTCCCTCCACTCGATTAACCCTTTCGAGGTCAAGCTCGAAAGTACAACTATTTGCTTTTCCCCTCGACAATGGCCTGTCATACACACATATACACATACACACATACATACATACATACATACATACATACATACATACATACATACATACATACATACATACATACATACGTACATACGTACATACATGTACACACGCGCACACGTATATGTGCAAGTGCACGCGCACGCGCTTGTTTGACCAGTGGGAAAACGATTTGTCGTCGGCTAGCCTCAAAAAGGTGTCAATTCTGTTGGCCACGAAGCTGGAAAAGGTTTCGAGAAGAATTTCGAGAGATTGAATTTGAAATCGATTGTTCGTCGTTCGAACTTCATTAATTAAGAGTTTTCTTTTCTATTATTATTATTATTATTATTATTATTATTATTATTATTATTATTATTATTATTATTATTATTATTATTAATTAATTAATTAATTAATTAATTTATTTTTTTTTTGTTTTTTGCTCTTTCTACGAATCAATTTTTTCCCTCTCTTTTCTTTTCTGTTCTTTTTTTTTTTTCTTTTTTCCTTTCTTTTTTATTCTTTTTAATATTATATTCTCTCTTAAGAACAAGTTAGATTATAGACCATCGTTCGAACGTTTACCCTCGAAAATTGGCACGATGAACTTTCAACTTTAGACTGAAAGTTTCGAGAGTTTCGAAAGTTTCAAACGAAAACTTTTTGCGATAGGTGATCGAAGAGATAAAAATTTTAATCGTCGAGAGATATAGCAAGAAATCGAGACTTTCTAATTTTTTTTTTTTTCTTTTTTTTCTTTAATCTTGTTTTTTTCCTTTTTCTTTTTTTTCCCTTTAAATTTTTCTTTTTTTTCGTTTTACTTTTCGATCGCTTTCGAACGAAGAGACGATCAATTTTGAAGGCCATCGATATTATTAAATATTAAAAATGTATAGAGATTTTGTTATTGAAAAATTGGAAAGGTCGAGGCTGCTTGCTTCTTCTCTCGATTATTTCGTTTCTTCGATTGGTATGCAGTTTATACACGATTCTCGGTCACTCATGATGGAGTTCTTCCTTAGGTCCATAGAACTCGGGTCAGATACACTTAGTTGTACCGGCTCGGGCTTAGAAATCTGTTTTTGAAGCGTGGCGAATAGTATTGCTCGTTAGTGCAGATCAGTAAAACCTTCGCAGATCGGTTTCCCCGATGATTTCTGCTTCTAAAACAGAACACCAAAATGCCCGTGTAAGAACAATAGTGTCACTTTAATAGTTCACCACAATTATACTCCAATTTTATTTCAGGGCTAACGAGACAGAGAGAAAGGCACGAAAAGTGTTAGAGATCTATCATCTCTTTCATCTAAATCCATATATCGCGATATTTAAAGTTCTAATAACTTTAATTTTAATAAACTCTAATTAGATATATATGTATATATATACATATATATCTAATTTAACTATAATGAAAATGAATGTTATACTTTTTGTCCTTTAGAAAATGTCCTCACAAAAATAATCACGAACGCGACAGAACATATATATATATATATATATATATATATATATACCGGACGTTAGTACTGTTTCCTTTCTAGTACGAATAACATAGAAAGCCGATTAACGTCCGCAGCTTTTGGAAAGGACTAAAATTCCTCATAGGTTCCCGAAGAGAAGGTCCCAGACACCAAACTGGATAGGGCACAGCAATACTCTACGTTTGTTGACTCGTGGAATTGTTTGCTCTTGAGGATGCACAGGGTCACCGATGCAAAGCTGCATATCCGTATTTGTGGACGGGCTCTCAAATAGTTGCCTGTTTGCTTACCACTCGAATCTACGCAAACAGTGACTGGTCCGTATCCATATAATAGACGTGCGATGCGAGTCCACGATTCCTCCATGAGTTTTCATTCGAGTTCATGTATCCCTAAGTTAGCCCTTTTGTATCTGCACGCTGTTAATTCTATTCTAGTCTTTGACTGTGCGTGTTTCCATCAAAACGCTTTTATTATATTACGAATAATATGGTATTGTAATCTAAAGTTTCATTAAACTTTCAAAGCCACAATTAAATACAATTTCACGTATAGAAAATACTTGGTTAAATTCTATACATTGGAATTCGTTAAATTGAAATTCAACGAATATTGACAAATTAAGGATTAATTATTATTTATTAAGGATTATTAAGTAATCAAAAATGTTTCAATCTTCAATGAACAATGTCAACGATCGATCAAGATACTCATTTATAAGAAATCTCTATAGACGATCTACATTGTGTAATATCAACGACAGATTGTTGTGCCATCCAGCGGTAGAATATCAAATTAAGTAAGAACGTCTAGCCCCTAATAATAGGCATTATTCTTACAAACGTGTATAAGGTGACGTTCAAGCTCATTCATAATTATACATGGTTATACTACACTACTCATGCTACTAAAAAAAAAAAAAAAAAAAAAAGAAAAAAAAAGAAAGAGAAAAAAAAGAAGAAAAAAAAGAAAAATAAGAAAGACAAAAAAGGAAAAAGAAAAAGAAAAAGAAAAAGAAGAAATAAAATTATGAACCATTTCGCAGCCTCTCTCTCTCTCCCTTTCTTTCTTTTCCTCTCTTTCTAAAATTTGAATCACGGTCCAATGTTTTATCGATCGAATAACCACGTTCCTCTCTCTCTTTCTCTCTCTTTCTCTCTCCCTCTCTCTCTCACTCTCTCTCTCTCTCTCTTTCTTCCTTTCTCTTTCTCTCTTACTCTTACTCTTGAAAGAAATTATGACGACAGCCGGTTACTGATCAGACCCGAGTAGTCTTGTAGTTGCACCGGGACCATTAAAGAGAAACTCCACCATCGTGCGAACATCAACTGATGTATTCGCGTGGTATGTCGGGATAGATCGCGTCCGGATCGAGATGCGTGTTTGCAGAGTTGACTTCCGGCGCGATCGCGCCCTCCTCCACGTGCTATCTGACGACACTCACCCGTTCCTCGATCGCGACCTTCCTGCTCTTCCAGACGAACTCGCATACAGCTATTACACAGGCAACGCCCATGCCACCCATCAGTACAACGAATACGCCACCAACATTCGCCAGACCCAACTCGTTTGCTGCTGAACTGCTCTTTGACGTGTCGTCCTAAAAGAATCATCGTTTTGTTCTCTTTTTTTTTCATCTCTTTCTCTCTCTCTCTCTCTCTCTCTCTCTGTCTGTCTGTTTGTCTGTCTGCCTGTTTGTCTGTCTGTCTCTTTTCGAATATCGATAATTCTTTCGTAGTATTATATTTTACAAAATGTACCAATGTAAAATAGATTACAAATATAAAATGATCACACGAGTTTTTCAATATTTTTCTAATTTTTACGCTTAATATTTATCAATGTTTTATATTCAATCAATGTTCAATTTTTATTGCTTAATTTCACATTCAATGTTTAATATTTGCCATTATAATATTTAATATTTAACAAATTTATTATTCAATGTTTCTGAATTATTCATTTCTAAATTGAAATAAACAAAAATCGAATTAATTAATTTATGTCAATGATTTTCTATTGAAATTAAATAAATAATACGATTAATTTTATCCGAACGAAATGAATAAAACCATTAATGGATCACCTGTCATATTGTGAATGATTTTTTAAGAAGATTAAAGAAATTTCGTAAAGATCGAGAAACCGCGATCTAAAATGAGAGAAAGAAGATTAAGAGTATAAGTAAAAGACGACTTGACAAGTTTATAATGTAATCTCTTTCTCTCTTACAACGTCTTAGAAACTAAAGGATATGAAAGAAAAAGAGAATGAAAGAGAGAGAGAGAGAGAGAGAGAGAGAGAGAGAGTGAGAGAGAGAGAGAGAGAGGGAGAGAGAAAAAGAGAAGGATAAATAACATTGGAGGAACAAAGATGACTAGATAAGGAGCGGAAGTATCGCGAGTAAGAAGTTTGCTTATGTGCCTTATTGACTGTATTAGTGTAGAAAATGGTTTTCCATGAAAATAAGAGAGGAAGCAAGGAAATTCTCTCCTCTCTCTCTCTCTCACACACACACTCTCTCCCTTTTTCTTTAAAACTATACTAGTATATATACAAGTATATATACAAGTATATATGTATATATATATATATATGTATGTACATATATATGTATCTCTCTCACCCTGCAGGATCCACCTCCTCG